TGTTCTCTCCATCTGTGCATGGCCAGGTCACCGCACGATATTTAAATACCTTTGCGGTCTGCCCACCGCAGGGTGGGTGACTGGTGTGCAGGCTGCTCCCGTCAGTCCCGCCACCTTGCAGGGATGCTAAGCACAGCATTTCGTTCTAGTTTTGAGTATGCCTTTTGATGGGTTATGAAATCCCACTCTTTTGGAAGGGCTCCCCGCTAGTGCTCCGTTTTGGATCCACTGTTTCCCCAGTCCCAAAAAATTTCTTATACTCAGGCAGAAAGAGTGGAAAATGCGAGTGCATCAGCATCTCCTCTTCGTGCTGGACGCTGTGCTTCTGGTTTGTGTCCCCATGAGCCGAGAGGAGCTCTTTTGTGTGTGAGGAGCTCAAGGGGATTCTGCCGTGGAGTATTTAGTGTCCGAGGGTCTGTGGCCGCGTGCGTTTCCCGCGCGTGCCGAGGGAGAGCATGGCCCCGGTCGCGGGGCCGAGTGTGCCCAAGCGAGGGGAGACCCCTCGCGCTCAGAGTTCTTTGGGAACAGCCGTGTGTTCACCTTGCCAGGCGATCTCTTGACACAAGCTCCCAGTTTGGGGTGAGGTAGGCTGGGTTGGGTTGGCTCTCCCTGACAACTGGTTTTTCGACTTCTCCTGCCCTTTGCCTTCATTGGATAACTCTGTGGGCTGAATTGGGCCGCGGCTCAGGAAAGCATCCCTGGCAGCTTGTGCTAACGTACCACTGACATCCACAGCGGCACGAGGCTACAACGAGCTCTGCAAGGACCCAGTCCTTCTCCTCCTCTATGCCCCAAGCCTTCTCATCCTTTCAAAGCATTAACACCTCTCATACTCCATCCTTCTGGCTCTCTTTTTCTTGTGCACGGAGCCCCGCAGCCTCTCTCCCTGCTGCATCAGGCTGCAGACGGCGGGGAGCAGCTTCCCGAAGTGACAGCCGCCCACGCCGACCCCAAGGATGGGAGCGTGGCGCTGAGCTCATGTCTGCCACTGTGGGCTGGAGTCTGCTCTCTCGCTGCCAGCGCGGGCAGGCACCCGTGAGCTAATCCCTTCCACGGCCAGCGTGGGGGGTGGCGGGGACCGGACTGCCTTGGGTTTTGGCTGGAAGGCCATTGCCACCAGTGGCAGCATTGCTAGCACATGAGCATTGTCACAGCCCGGGCTCCCACGGGTGGGAGGTGGCACGGGATGGCCACCGTGGTCGCAGCAGCCGCGTCTCATGACCTCCAGGTGGGATGGTCATTGCCTGCCCGTCCGGGTACCCCCAGCCCCTGTCCCTGAGACAGGAGCACGCGGCAGCAGGGAGGACAAAGTCCCCCTGGGGTTTGCGTGACCCTTGCAGCGGGCGCCCAGCGTGGGCCGTCCCCGGGGGTGCTCAGGGAAGGACGGCCGGGCCCCGCTGGGCTCGGGGCGGGCAGGGCTCCTTCCAGCCAGCCCGGGGTCTGGGCTCCGCCAGCGGGACAGAGCAGCCCTGTCTGACAGGGACTGGTTCTCTGCTGGAGGCTCAGCGAGGCTACGCCCTTAAACAAAATGCACTTAAAATCACATAATTACAACAATTATTAACACTGTTTACTAGGCCAAGATCTGCAGCATTGGAAACGTTAAAACCCAGAATATGCAGAAACCACAACATTATGAGCTACCCAGTGGGTTTGCTTGTGTTCGTTGCAGAAGGAGGGATAAAATGAAGTTGTCTTATGCACATCCACCCTCGTGTGCTTTAAAAAAAAATCCTCATTACACTGGTTTCATGAGATGGGTCTGGCCAGCCCCGGTGCACCCTTTAGCAGAACCTCAGCCTTTTCCATGGAGTTTGCTGGTACATGGATTTATGGCATTGCAGACCTGATGTCCACACTGCCTCCCTGACGGTTGCAAACACATCCCACGGCCAGAAAACTGAACTGCTGGGGCAGGCAAAGCACCCGTCCCCTGCTGCGGCGTTTGCAGTAGGTAGGTAAATAATTAGCAACAAGAACTGATTGTGGTTGAGATAAATTTAGTTCAGCTGCACTGAGACTATAAAGGCAGAGGGGGAGCTCCCAGCACCTCCCTGCAGGATGAGGCTGTGCCGCATCAGGTGAGCTGGTGTTGGCTGGTTGCACCTTGAGGGCACGGCATCTGTGGGTGTTGTTTTCAGCTATCAGTTGCTTCACTGCAAAGTTTAGCTCCAGATAAATCAAGACTGTTTCACTGAGTCCAGATGACTCATAACCACAGGGCAGGAAACTCTTTTATCTTTGGGGCAGGCAGTTTAATATAGATAGATGTTCACTCCTGGCCTCTGAATAATTTCTGTCTCTTTACTTCTCATTAAAAGCAAATCAGATGAGGGAAAACAGTGAGAAATTTCTCTGTGTCGCCTCTGTTTCTACCATCTCTGAGTGAACTTCCTCCAAATTGTGCAGTCTGCCTGTACTGGGTCATTTGCCATGTATTTTAATTGGCAGAAAAAGTGCTTTTGCTCCAAAGCATCGCTCCTTTTTAAAACCTTGATTCTGCAGGCATGGATGGAGCAGGGAGCTGTTGCAACAGGGTCTAACCCAGCTTCCAGAGAGGTACTTTTGGGGGTCTTCCTTCCTTTCCTGATGTGGGAGGGCATCGCTGCCCCCTTGGATGAAGGGGGACTGCAGAGGGACTGGGCACCTCCTCGATGAGCCTGCTAAAAGAGCTGTCTCCACCTCCGAGCAGCAGCCGGAGGTAGGGAGAGGAGGACTTGGGCAGCAGGGAGCTCTTATACGCAAGAGAAAAGGCAAGGTTTTGCTGGAGAGTCTCTCGAGGCGGGTATTTCTCTTTGCTAAGTGTGCCAGATAGCACTTTGCTTCACGGGCTTGGTCCGTGGGTCAGGACCTGCCTTCCTGGCTGCCTGTTCCTGCCAGAGTGCCCTGCCTGCACAGGCACAGGTGGCTCTTCTCTCTTAATTTCTGTCTACCAGTGACAGCAGAACTGCGTGATGCTTCTCTGCTCCTTTGATATCTGGGGTCTTGTATTTGCCGTCTGTAGAGGCTTGTACGAGCCGTGCGCGGAGCCCCTTGGCATGAGGAGTCTTCAGCACTGGCCACGCAGGGAGCTGCTCCGTGTCCATGATGAAGCATGATGTGCTCGGCCTGGCACGGCCGTAAGCTGAGGACTCTGCGTCCAGAGCCAGGCAGGTCCCAGTGAGCCCGGGGCTGGTTCTCCAGCACTTCCCTGGCTTGTGCAGGTCTCTCCCCACATGCTGATGCCCTCCTGATGGAGAACCGCTCCCCTTCTTCCCCCCCAGAACCAGCAGGACCCTGCTGCACAGATCTCACCAGCCTCTGCATGGTTACTTAGGGGTGTCTTGCCACCTGAAGCTCACGTGGTTGGTGTTCACTGTCTGTCTGTCCGGTCTTTAAGGCCCTACATTCAGATAACGCCCATGCCTGGAGGAACCCAAGGCAGCAACTCGACGCTGCGGCTTGGGCCACGCTCGAGACCTCTGAATCCGTAGGCTGAAGCCAGTGAGATGAGCGACTGGCAGGAGCCAACCTCCCCATCATTTTCCGCTTTTAAATATCACAGTAATAAAAGGTAATATCATTAAAGGACTTCTGCAGCCCACTGTGCCTAATCTGACATCAGGACGATGCACGTAGTGAGGCTGTTATTAATATCCTGCCTCCTGATGATGCCTTCATAAACATCAGCATCACAGGCACAGCTTTGCAGTAGCATTTTGGCATAACCTTCTAGACAACTGTCATGCTTTTTATCATGCTTCCTCCTTGCTTGATATTTAACCAATAAAGTGATATGGGGAAGACCTTGCCCCTAAATATCTGACCTTATACACAGGGATATGAGGTCAAAACTGAGAGAAACTGTGTTCAGTGTAGTTGTGCGAAATGCTCTTTAGACCTGATGCTCCTTGTCTGGGAGCTGTGCCACGGGCTATGGCAAGGAGGGGACCAGACGTTTGACGCCAGTGAAACCCTTGGTGCTGTAAGGGATGACTCACGGGCAAAAGCCCCACACGGCAGCGAGGCCACGCGCTGAAGCCGGGGACTTTGCCCGGTGGGGACACGAGGGTCACGGCTGCAGGGAGAGGGGCAGCTCATCCTCTGGGAAGCCAAGAAAAGAGCCAGCTTTCCTAGTGACTTGTACATATTTATCATGGCTATTTAAAGTAGAAATCAAAATTGGAGTGGAGAAAAGATTTTGTAGCTTAATCAGTGTGGATGGAGGTGAGGAGCAGCTGTGGAGCCTGGGTCTGCTGGTGAGCAGGAGACTGGGGGTCACTGGTCTCCATTGGGACCTGGTGTTGTCTTGGTGCCATTAGAAATGGCCTTTTGTCCATTCCCTGCCCTCACTTTGCTTTCAGAGGGTGTCCTTTGCTGGAGTAAAGACCCTGAGGAAAGTCACGTACCAAGGAGGGCTGAGGGACGGCGATAAGCGCGGGAGATGGGTTCCTGCAAGAAGGATGGATGTGGAGAGGGTGCACGAGGCCATCCCAAGCCAACTGCGTGGTGGGCAGCACTCACCCAGCACGGGGCTGGGGGGCTGTCAGTCTCTGCAGCCCCCACTGCCGAGGGGGTCTGGGCAGCCCATCTCTGTAGGAGCTGGATGGTGGAGACTGGGAGTAAGGAGAGATTTCCCTGGTGCGATAGATGGGGACCGGTTGCAGAACTGAGCAGCCTGAGGTTGCTTGGGGCATCCCAGCTAAAGAGCAGCGTGGGGCCAGCCCGGCCCTTGGGTCTGGAAGGAAATGTCTCACCCACAGGGTTCGTATGAGCCCTCGGGACCCCCGCAGGGCCAACAGCAGTGATGGGGAGGAGGAACGGACTGGCCCCAGCTGATAACAGATGGATGAGGGCGTTGCTGGCACTGGCATCTGCCTTGCAGCCGCTCACATCAGTGCTGCCCCAGCACTGCTCTGGCTCTCCTGAGTCGTGCCTCGGTCCAGTGCTGCAGATGTGCCTCTGCCTTTCTGGCACGTCCTCCATGCCCCGTTTCCTTACACCTCCTTGCCCTTTCCCAGGTCATCCTCCCCTAAAATGACGCAGCAGATGCGGGACCTGCAGCTGGCGCAGGCCAGGAAGCCACCAGGCCCTTCCTCGCCGAACGCAGCCAAGAGGCTCTACCGAAACCTGTCAGGGAAATTCCGCGTCAACTACACGTCCTTCGACGAGGGCAGCCTGGTGGGACGGGGCGAGAAGGAAAAGCTCCGCAAGTCCTACCTGGTCAGTGCCCGCTGGCTCCATCCAGCACTGCTGTGGCTGGGAAGATGGGGATGGAGGGTCCGTGTGCGGGTGACGCTGTCACCTGGGTGGAAGCCCAAGAGTGCATTAAGTGAAGCCACCCTGGAGCAGGTTCAGCTGGAGCTGGTCCAGGTGTTTGCTCAGCATCATTCAGTTGTGTCTGCAAAGAGCTGATGCTCCTGAGCTCCTGGGACCAGGGCAGCCCACCCTGTTTGGGTTTGTGGGGTGCTGGTGAGGGGCTAGGGTGTTTGGTGGGGTGGAGGAGGGTGCCCCATGCTCAGCCGACCTGCGTTTCTCCTTCCACCCAGTTCCAGAGCAACGCTGCCCTCTTCGAGGCCGTGGAGCTGCAGGACATAGACAGGGTCCAGGAGCTGCTGAAGCAGTACAGCCCCGAGGAGCTGGACCTCAACACCCCCAACAGCGAGGGGCTGCTGCCCCTGGACATCGCCATCATGACCAACAACGCTCCCATCGCCAGGGCCCTGCTGCAGGCGGGAGCGAAGGAGAGCCCACACTGTGAGTTGGTGTGGGGGAGCTATGCTGTGCCCGTCACCTGGGTCTCTAATATGGCGGAGCAGGGCACCCCAGGCAGCGGGGTCTTGGAGGGGAGGCAGTTACTGGGCGCTGGGAAACTGGTGCAGACTTTAGCAGGGGCTGGAGTGGAGCTGTGCACTCGAGTGGAGCCCAAGAGCAGGACACGGAGGGGAGGATGGGGTCTTGGGGTGGGGACTTAGTGCCAGCAGAGCCTGGGCTTGCCCTGACCACTTTCTCTTCCCTCCTGCTGGCTCCCATCCCGGGACCCATGGCCATGCCCACCCACCCCACAGTCGTGAGCCTGGAGAGCCGCTCGCTGCACCTCTCCACGCTGGTGCGGGAAGCAGAGCAGCGCGTCAACGAGCTGACGGCGCAGGTGGTGAACGAGGCGCCCAACGCCGACTGCTCCGAGAAGGAGAAGCAGCTCAAGGCCTGGGAGTGGCGATACCGGCTTTACAAGCGCATGAAGGCAGGGTTCGAGCATGCCCGTGAGTGCCCACGGGAGGGCTTGGAAGGCCTGGGGAGCAGCCCCTGCGCTGGGGGAAGGAGCAGGGCTGTGCGTGGTTCAGGCACGGGGCTGCGCCAGCACCTGTCAGAGGGTCCCCGCACCCTATAGCCAGGGCTCGCTGTATGGGTGTACAGGGGGTGAGTGCTCCAGGAACATGTCCCTGGGCGCGAGGGGAGGCCTAGGAGGGACACTGAGGGGTTCAGAATGACCATCCTCGCTGTAGTTGTCCCTGCGTTCTCTGTCCCCAGGAGTCCCGGACGCCCCCACCAACGTCCACCTCTCCGTGGCCAGCAGCTCCTCGGTGCAGGTGACCTTTTGGGAGCCCCTGAGCGTCAATTCGGCCGTTGTCACCAAGTACAAAGGTGAGGACCGGGGTCCCCACAGCAGTGCAGGGGACGTGCGGCCATGGCAGGTGCCTTGAGTGTGCTGGCAGGGGGGGGCGGGGGGGGCACCGCGTGCATGCCAGCATGCCGGGGGTGTGGGTGGTGCTGCCAAGCCCCTGTCCGGCCACCTTTGTGCTCGAGTGCAGGAGGAGCCAGGGCTGCACGCTGCTGGGCAGCCTGGCCACCACCCGAACAGTCTGAGCTGGGCCAAAGCACCGTCCTGCACCAAGGAAAAACTCAGGGTGCCACTTGTTTGCCACCCCCTCATCCTGCACACCACGGGGGCTTTGCTGTCCTGCTACTCCTGTGCCCCTCATCCACTTATACCAAATATTTTTGGCTTCTGGGAGAACTTCCTCCATCCCCAGCTCCTGACCCATCATTTGAGGGTGCTGATCCTGTCTGAAGCAGCTCGGTGAGGAGGACTGCAGCTCCCCGTGCCGTCCCCCCCGCTGTAGCTCCCCCACTCCGCTGCCTCCAGCTCCTGCGCTGCCCACGGTCCCTCTGCAGCTGCTGGCCCCGACACGCTGCAGCCAGCCCTGGTAGCCTGTCCCTGCTGCGGGGCCACGCGGCACCTTGGGGTCTCTCTCCTTTCAGTGGAGTGGAGCTGCTCCCCCACCTTCTCGCCGCCGCTGGGGGAGGCCGTGATTGACAAGCTGAAGAACCTGCACTTCACCATCCGAGGGCTGGTGTCGGTGAGCTCTCAGGGTGCCCCGCGGGGGTCGGGGCTGTGGGGGGAGAGCCTACAGCTGGGGAACGCTGCTGGCCATGGTGCAGCCCATGGGGTCATTCCCTGCAGCCGATGTGGGGAGGGGATGGGGCATCATTTCGAGCAGGAGGAACGGGATTGTGCCGCCGTGGTGTTCAGCACAGCCTGTGGGCAGAGCTGAGAGCGTGGGGCTGGGAGAGGCATCTGTCTGTCCCTGCACGGCCACGGCCGCCCTGGCAATGGCGTAACCCCCTGCACGGGGTGCCTGGGGACTGTCGAGTGAAAGGCAGAATGGGCCCATTCACCGAGCGCCTGATTTATCCTCTGTCCCCCACCCCGCTCCCGTCTCCACCCGTGCTCCTCCTGGGCAATAAATCAGTGGCTCGTTCCTCTGCCACCTGCACAGATTGACCCCCCGCACCAGCCCCGTCGCTCATTGGAGAGGGGGGACCGGCCCCGTCTCCATCTCTGGGAGCTCAGCAAGGTCATGGGCTGGTTGGGGCCGGGGCTCCCCACTGTTTTATCTCCCTGAGAACCGCAGGGGCCATGCTGCCTGTCAGCTGTCCCCTCCCCGGGGGCTGCTGTCCTGTCCCTGGCATGCATTGGACCAGCGGGGGGAGATGGGGCGGGATGGGGACCGCAGTGGGATGGGGACCCCGTGGCAGGGTGGAGCTTGGGATGGGAACACGGGGAGTTGCTGGGATGAATGGGGTTGCCCTTGCCAGGGAGGTGCAACGCCGAAGCTCTGGGGCGGGCAGGCAGGGACCACCAACTTGAGGAGCGGGGAAGGCCCTCGGTGCGGTGAGAGGGGCTTAGCCAAGGCAGCAGTGCTGGAGCCCCGGAGCCGCTGTTGGGGCGGGAGAGCTGCCCTCGCGCGTGGCAGGATGGGGCTCTAGCGGAGCCCAGAGCAGCGCCGCTGCAAGGAGCTGGCCCAAGCCCATCAATCATGCTTTCAGAGCTGCTTCGCAGGCTCCTGTCCGCCTTCATGAGTGCCTGGAGGCCTTGCAACATCTGGCAGCTTGACTGAGCTTTAATCAGAGGCCTTTAATCACTGTCCTCATGCCACAAGCCCTCGACAGCGTTGGGCCAGCTCCCTCTCTCCAGGGGCCGGATTCTTCCACGTCCCAGCAGGAAGGCAGCACCCCGACCCTCCAGGCTCTGGAAGCCCTGTGTCTTTGGGGCCAGAGCATCTCCTGGCAAAGGTCATTCATGATGTCCTGTCTTTCCTCTGCCTCACCCCTAAAACTGGCCACCCAGCCTGTGGGGATTCTCTAGTGTCTGATAACAAGAGCTTCATACAGCTGGGGAAGGTCAGAGCTGGTGACCTGGGGTGCAGGCTCCCAGTTTAGTACTCCTCGTGGTGTACTGGTGTACTGGGTTATGGGGGATCATCCTTCCCTTGCATGCTGAGCTGGGACTGGTGCCGGTGCGCTGAGTGTGGCTTCCCTCCTCGCAGGGCACGGCTTACTACGTCCAGGTGTCCGCCTACAACATGAAGGGCTGGGGTCCTCCACAAGCCTCTGTGCCCCCTTTCGCCATCCCTTCCAGTAAGTACCACTGGGAACCCTCCCAGGATCCGGCACCGGCTGTGGGATGGATGGGGGGAGGCAGCAGCTCCCTGTGCCTTTGGGGGTCCCTCTCTCTGCTGGGATGGGGTCCAGTGGAGCCGGGAGCAGAGGCAGCACTTGGAGTCTCGGGCCAAGCAGGGAGGCTGTGCCTGGGGCTCCGGGATGCTGCCTCCAGCTGATAGGAGCTTTGACAAATATTCATTTTTCAACCTGAAATTCTCCTGGCTGCCTGGTAAAGGCTGAGCCGTTTTAGGCAACCTGGATCAGCTCATCCTAAGGAGGAAGCTAGGAGAGAGGATGTTTTGCTTTCTCAGTTAAGAGGAAAGCAATGCAGCCATCTCCTCTGTAGGAAGGAAAAACACCTCTGGGTTTTTTACAGAGGTTTGTAATTTAGCACAGGGCAGCTTTTGGGAGGGGTCAGTCCTTACCGCCTCAATGACATCTCCCCCAAAGCGGCCAAGCTTGTGCAAAACCACCACGTGCTGAGGGGAGACCTGGTGGGATGCCCCAGCTCAGCCCCTGGAGACGCCCCCCAGGGCTCAGAGCCGTTCTGGCCCTGGAGCCCTCCCTGTGCCATCGCATGCTCTCGCCCATCCAGCCCAACCCTGGGGACCTGCATTCCTGGCACCGAGCTGGGATGGGGGTCACGAGCCCCACCGGAGACTAGCTCTGGGCTGTCAGCACTCGCCTCCCCACGCTGGCATCAGGGCAAGTGGTGCGGGGGAAAGCCACCCAATTTCACACGAGGCGCCCCAGGGTGCTGGGGGAGACAGGCCAGGAGGACCGAACTGGAAGGAGCAGCCCCAAAGGGTGAAGTTCAGGGCTGAGCGGGCTCTGAGGTGGCCTCTGCCCCTCGCCGCCAGTCCCGAGACAGGTCTCCGCTGCGTGGGGGTCCCGTGGGATGCGTAAGGAGCGGCCCCATGCGCACCTGGGGAGGCTGAGCCCGTCCCAGCAAGCGGTGGGCACACGGTCCCTGGCACCGCGCTGGCAGGCAGCGAGAGAGCAGGCGTGCTGCTGCGTGTGAGCAGCGAACGCACCGCGTGCGGGCGGAGGTGCGGGTCTGACAGCCCGTGAACAGCCACAGGGCCAGCGGCGCGCAGGCACCACGCGTAGCTCTAGCTGCAGGTGCACGAGCACTATAGCACCGGTGTGGAAAGATGCAAAAATACATTTAATGTATGTGAATGCATGGAGCAAGCCTACCCATGTGCTGCATGGCCCTGGCTTTACCCTGTCCTGGCAGCGGGTGTTGGTCATGTTTGCACCCTCTTTAAAGCCCTTCGCCATGCCACACGGGTCACGTTCCCCGTGACCGAGATCCATGCAGCATCGATACAGAGTACGGCTGAAGTGAATCAGACATGAGTGGGTTTTATTTATTTTTATCTCCATTAATATTTCTCCCTTCCGTAAAGATCCCTCCCTGGCCCAGCAGAATATAGTCAGGCACCTCCCCGGGTGTTTTTAAAGCTCCTAAAAATAGTGGCGAGCCCCAGCCAAAGTTAACAGAGCTGAACTTTCCATGGAAAACAGCAGCAGGCAGGACACAGGGGGTGTTTAAAGCAATTAATGTAAAGCTAAAGTAGAAGCGCCGGCGGGTCCCCGGCCCCACTCCTGCTCCTGCTGCCATCTCGCAACGGGTGGAGCTGGCAGGAGAGCTTATTTATGTGTTTGCCGAGGTGAGCCTAGCTCTCGGCACTCACCCGGAGAAAGCTGCAGCTCCAGGGAAGACCTGGAGGAAGACACTGGAAAGAATTTTATTTTTATTTAAGACCAGTGAAGCGCGGCAGCAACAGATAGGACCTTGTTCTTTCCCTCTGCCCTGTCCCCGCCGTGCTCCGGGTTGGCTGGTGGCCGTGGGGTGCTGTGCAGAGCCAGGGTGCTCCTGGGAAGAGGGGTGCAAAACCGGGGATCTCCCAAAGCCCAGCCTGCCCAGAGGTGCCCAGCACCCATGACTGCTGCTGTGCCATGCTGTGCTGGTGGGACGCATAGGTGGGGTGCCAGGAGGTGACCTGCCGTGGTCAGGAGAAGACGGGAAGCCTGAGGGGTAGGTGCTGGGGCGATGGGCCAGGTGCTCAGGGTGATGCTGGTTTGTCCCCCACAGACTGGCGGGAGTACGACGGCCGGGCTCCACGGCGAAGGGGACAAGCTGAAGCTCTGGACCATCTGCTGGGCCAGGTGAAGACCGTCCACCAGCACTGCGTTTGTCACGGTGAGTGCACGGCACAATGCTGCAGGGAGGCTGGGGTGGGGGATCCAGCTGGGCCACCCTGGGTTGTGATGTGGGCTGGGGTGGCACCAGGAGTAGATCTGCCTCATGGGTGAGCATAGCAGGGGGACAGCTCAGGCAGTGGAGACCTTGGCAGAGCCTTCCCACCAGGTTGGCATGCTGTGCCACGGGCTGGCGGCATGGCCCTTCATCTGCTGCAGCGTCCTCTGCTCTCTGCTCCCCAGAGCCCTGCAAGAACCAGCCCCAGAGCAGGAAGCACTCGGTCTCCAAGAGCCTCAAGCACCTCTTCCACCCTGGCAGCAAGTTTCTCAAGACGCTGAAGCGGTGAGAGGCTGATGTGCGGGGGTTGTGGAGAGCCTGTTTCCCACTGGGGACGTGTTGCTGCCCGTCCTGGGCATGGCCGGGAGCTGCGTGCACAAACCAGGGACTGGAGAGTGCTCAGAGACTGGTCCTTGCCTGGAGCGAGCTGGTGGTGTCAGTGGAGATGAGTCCCATTGCCCAGAAATCAAACATTTCTCCTTGGTGTTTCCATTTGGACTGGCCAAGCTGCACCCGTACCCAGACCTCTGCACCATCTCTGAGCATCACCCAACATCCCACCCTCCTTTAGACCCCACCACCCTCCCACCACCCACCTTCACGCTTGGCCTCCAGGCACCCCAGCGCGTCTCCTGCACAGGCCTGGCCCCATCGCCCTCCCTTGTGCTGGCCGGGGCATCGGCCACGGCACAGCTGTGGCATTGGCCAAGCTCGCCTTGCTGGCAGCATTGGGTTCCTGTTCCTGCTCCTGTACTGACCGTGTGCCTCTTCTGCCACGGGCTGTTGGAGAGGAGCAGAGACCTGGGGCAGGGCATGTCTTCTGCCCTTGGGAGAGAGACCCTTTGGGAAATGAAGCTGGCAGCTGGGGTGACACCGAAGTCTGTCTTCCCTCCCATGCAGCGGCCTCTACCTGACAGCCATCTTCTACAAGGACGACAACATCCTAGTGACCCATGAAGACCAGATCCCTGTGGTGGAGATTGATGACACCTACTCCTGCCTGCTCATGCAGGATTTTCTCTGGTTCACCAAGGTGGGTGGCCCAGGGACCCTGTGCTGTGCGCTGGGGCACGGCAGCAGTGTGTCTCCTGGCACATCTCTGTCTGCCTGGTCACCACCCTGGATGCTGCTGAGATGATGGCCAGCACGATCTGCAGAGCACCTTCATTGCAGCCCCTTCCCTGGTGCTGCCCGCGCAGGCAGCTGTGCCCATCGTGCGTGGGGTGCTGTGGGGCTCTCTCCGGGGCTGGCTGGTCTGATTCGGGGCTGGGAGCAGCGCCAGGGGCTCCCCATGTGCACAAAGTGAGCACAAGCTACTCGCACCAGAGACACAACATCTGGCAGCTCCTGGGCTTCCCGTTGTTGCCTCTGGGACCTCCGCTGTGCCTCTGCCCTCCCGTGCTCCACGGGGCAGAGCGATGCCAAGAGCTGATCACAGCCCAGGAGTGCCAGGGTGAGCCAAGCGGACATCATGCACCGCTGCTGCCTTCAGCTGGCAGCAGCTTCCCCACCACCCCGGGCGCTGGGGCTTGGCGGCACAGGCAGCCTGCAGGCTTGCTGCTCGACGGGGTTCAGCATGGACCGAGAAACCACCAGGGAATGGCATTTCCACCCCAGCCCCTGGAAGCCCAAAGGTGGGCGATGGACTGGTGCCATGCTGGGCAGGCTGCGTGCCATGACGGGTGGGCGATGGACCAGCGCCACGCTGGGCAGGCTGCATGCCGCGACGGGTGGGCGCTGCCTCTCCACAGGGATGCCAGCGGCTTCTCAGCTGTTTAACTGCTTCACCGCAGCATCCTGCTGCGGCAGCTCTGCCTCTGTCGTGCAGAGCAGGACGTGCAGGCTGCTGCTGCCTGGTCCTCCACTGTCAGTAGGCTTAGTGAAGGGCAGGTGGGCAGCTCAGGGCCAAAATCTTTTGGTGGATGGTCCTTATGTACCGAGGGAGAAGGCTTTCTCTCCCTCCTTCTCTTGGCTATTTTCTACTCAAACTTAAGAAGGTCTCAGTCCTAGATGAAGACAGGTACCTGAGTGGACACGGCATGGTACTTCCCTTGGGTACAGGCTCCGGAGGCATCTCGGGGTGCCTGTGGCATAGGAAATCACACCCCTGCTGAGCGGTGATATGTGCAGATGCACATTCCTAACCCTGCCCAAACAGAAAGGCAAATGGATTTCCCCAAAACACCTTCGTGTGAACCAGCTGCAGGCAGTGGTGGCCGGTGGTGACGGCCCTTTGGTGTTCTGCAGGTGTCGTGCATGTGGGACGAGATCCTGTGGCTGCGGCAGTGTGTCACCGTCTCCCAGTCATCCTGTTCTTGCATCCTGCAGACACGCTTCAAGATGCTGCTGGCCATCTCACAAATGCAGGTGAGGGTGGGCCTGGCGGGGAATGAGTGGTTTTTGGGGGGCGTTGTGGGCCAGGCTCCCTTGGAAGCAGCACACGCACGTGCCACAGCCAGGAAAACCTCAGGCTCTGCCAGTCCTGCCCACGGCTCAGCCAGCAGCAGGACCAGGTGCCCCTGCCTTGTTGTCCCTGGCAGGACCCTGGTCGTGGGGCAGTGGGGTGTCAGGCTTCATGGCAATCTGTCGTGGCATGACTGTCAGTGGATGCTTTGCTGGGCAGGCTGGTTTCCAGCAGGCAGAGGGGAGGCCCCCAGTCGCATCGTGGCTGCCCAGACCCACAGAGCCTCCAGGATGTCCCCTGACCCACTGCTTTCTCCTGTCCCCCCATCCCATCGTGCAGGGGCTGCTGGGCATCCAGGACCTGGGACAGGTCTTCTTTGAGCCTGTCAAAGACAAACAGGGCAACATCCTCATCGTCACCCTGAAGGAGGTGAAGACCAACCAGACCTTTGAGAGCGTCCGTTGGGTTCCTATCTGCAAGCTGCAGACCAGCCGCAAGTCCGTGTCCTCCCCGGAGGAGCCCACCGCTCTGGACACGCTGCTGATCTCCGTCCAGGTGCTGTACCAGTGCAGTCGTGGCAGGGGATTGCAGTGGGCTCCTCTGCGGGACCACCAGCGCTCCCTTCTCCCCCTCAGGCTGGAAAGGCTGTGGCAGAGCCTGGGCTACCGAGGGTTTGGTGCTGGCTGCAGGCAGAGGGGGAGCAGTATCCAACCAGCCTGCAAAAATCCTGTCGCTTTGAGGGGAGGTGTCAGACTCGTGACGGATTCAGCCCGGCAGCGCCAGATTGTACCTGCTCTGCCGCTTCCCTTCTGCTGGCTGGGCCGGCTGTGCCATGGCAGCCGGCACGAGGGCAGGAGAGCGCCCTGCTGCGAGGGCTTGCTCAATCCAGCAGTGCCTTTCTCCTCAGGACAAGCTGGCTTACCACCAGCGGAGCAGCCATGCCCTCTCCCCGGGCCTCTACCTGGGCTACTTGAAGCTCTGCAGCGCCGTGGATCAGATCCGAGTCCTGGTGCCGGAGCGGCTCCCCAACATCCTGTGCCATGTCAAGATTCGCTCCAACCCCAACATCTCCAGGTGGGGCTTGCACGGCAGCTCACCTGGGGCAGCCAGGCTCCTCTGTCCCATCCAGCCCGAGAGCACCCATCACCTCCCACTTCTGCTCTCGGGCTCCTGGCAGAAGCGTAATATTCCCTCTCAGCCCCGCTGCCTGCCATGCAGGGCAGCCTGGAGCTGCAGCAAACCAAGGTCCCCCTCTACCTCCACAACTCCTGCATCCCTTGGGGTGCTGCACCATCTGGGGAGGGACAGCCAAGCAAACACAGCTCTGCACGTTCAGGTCCAGCCCGAGCTGCTGCCTCCTGCACATGTCTGTCTCTCCCTTCTCTAGGGAGGAGTGGGAATGGCTGCAGAAGATGGCCAGCGTGGAGGAGCCTGTTCCTGCAGAGCCAGAGGCTGAGACCTCCCAGAACCACTTGTTTCAGGAGCTCCAAGTGGCCATCAAGGAGCTGATGACCCTGGTGAACATCCCATTGCCAGAGGTACAGGCAGGTGCCAAGGTCTGGGGAGGAGGGAGGGGAAGGAGCCGTGCAGCACCATGCTGGTCACTGCAGCAGGCAGGGTACCGCAGCCCCTGGTCCGTCTTTGGGAGCCTCAAGCATTGATTAGATTTTAGTCCCATGCAAACAGAAGGCAAGTGGTGGACAACCAGCATCGCAAGCATCTGCCTGCCCAGGGACAGTGTCCACAGGAGCTGTTTGTCTTACCCTCACATGCACCTCCGAAGCAAGGATGGTGAATCTGGGTTTGCGTTATTGCCTGCCACGTGGTTTGGTCCTGGGCTCAGCCCTTGCAGCATGAGACTGGCCCAGCTCTGCCCCTCCAAAGCAGGATGCTCCCTGGCCAGCCATGGGATGGAGCTGCAGCCTCGCCGGCCAGACTGCACAGGGAGAAGTGCCTCCTCCACCACGCTGAGTATTCACTGGGAAGGCGACCACCAGCCCCAGTGCCAGGCATGTGCTTCTGGCCGGGCACCTCTCTGAGCAGGGCTGAGACCGTGGCTGGTGGCACTTCTTCTCTGAGACCCTGTTGTAGTGCCTTTGACCAGTACTTCAGAGACTTTTAGGAGAAGTAAGAGAGAAAGAGGGGTGCGCAGATTATGCCAGAAGCAAGGAGCCTCTGGCTGTGTGCTGAAACAGCAGTGTCCCCTGGCTGTGAGTGGTCCCTGAGGACTCCTCTGCAGATGAGGACTCGGAGGAGAGCCCACCAGGTGATGTTTGCAGCTGTTACCTGCAGTGTCTTCTTGCAGGCCAAAGATTTCCGTCTGTACAGCCAAGAGGTGCTGGACTTTGGGGGCCAGGTCTCTTTCCTGCTGCTGCTGCCTCCGTCGGACGACGTCTGCACTGCTCCGGGCCAGAACAACCCCTACACCCCTCGCTCTGGCTTCCTCACCCTGCCGCTGCAGATCTTCGAGCTAGGTGAGGAGAGAGAATGCCAAAACACAACCTTACTGGTCTCCTTGTCCTCTGAGACCTCCCGAGAGCTGGGATGGGCAGTGAGGTGGGCTGGAGCTCCCTTACCTCCCCCAGGAGAGGAGGGGTGGAGGGGGATGCTGAGGGCTCTCCAGGTGGGCTAGAGTGTTGCCTTCTCCCTGTGTTGTGTGAGTGCGGAGGAGCATCTGTAGGCCATCCACAGCAAGGGACCTGATATTTTTCATTCCCTTCCCAGTCCACTTCTTCACGTATGACCGGGAGTTCATCACCCAGTACTGCCAGGTGTCTGCCCTCCTGGAGCTGGAGTCGCTGCTCTCTCAGCAGAGCCTCAGGGAGGCCTTCTCCGATGCCGAGCTCTCCACTGCGAAGCAGAGGCACCAGCAGGTTCAGGACTACATCCAGGTACGTGGAGCTGGAGCACGCTGGGAGGGAGCCAGGCTCAACGGTGCCCATGGGATGTGGCCAGGACAGTCCTGCCCTGGACGAGCTGCAGGAGCATCCCTGCCGGGGCTGTTCAGTGGCGTTCCCGACTGTGACCCCATGGGGTTTCTCTGACACGGCAGATGGGCAGCTGCAGGCAGAGCTTCGTCTAGCAACTTCTTATTGCAATGATCACATAAAAAATCCTGATTAGAGAGCCAGAGGCTCCTGCTTTGCAGGTCCCCACCTTGCTAGAGAAGGGCCTGGAGGTGCATTTTGGGATGGACGTGCGAAAGAGCACCCTGCGCTGCCCCCTTTTCCCAGCACCCCTGCCTGCAGCAGGCAGGTCC